AACTTGCTCCGCTTCACCTTGTTTTGCATAATGAGCAACAGAAGGGTGGCCTTGTGAGTTAAAACGTTTACCACAAGGGTGTTTAGGTAATTTATTTTTATGTGACTTTTTATGCTTTAAATGTATTTTCGCTATGGTTCAATTTATGTTTGGACTTTTTGGTAGTTCTGTTTTATGTTCTATTTATGATTGTTATATGTTCGTTTAATGTCGTCATTTATGTTTTCACTGTGTTTCTTAATAAAGTACAATGTTTTTGATCAAATTTCCTTGATGCTTAAATGTCATTGCCTCTTTCAGGGATTCTGCTTCTGTCTTTTTGTTCTTGCGTTGAAAAAATTGGTTTGCGAAGTATTGGTTTCCAGCCAAGTCTATAAATGAAATAACTCACTCTGTAAAAAAAGAAACTATGCAAACCCTCTCCCAGCAGTCAAAAATATACCTGCAATCCGAATACAGGCCCTGGATATCTGTCAATGAACGCCAACCTAGCGCACCTTGCGTCCTATGTGAATGGTGTGGGTTTGCCCGGTAAAGCTTGAGTTTAGGCTCTAGCAACGCAAACCAATTCACTTTTGAGTGCGTCGTAAAAAGCCAGACCTCTGCCTAGACGTAGAAATGACCGCTGCCAGTAAAACTAGCAGGCAGGCACTCAAACCAACAAACAAGGCACTGACCACGACCAGGAACACGACTAAGCTTCTCTCTGCCGCACGTGCACACATGGCAAATTTCATCGCGTAAAAGGCCCCTTCCTCAGCGTCACAGGGCCGGCCACAGGCCAGGCAGACTTGGCGTCTACTGGACGGTGTGAGGCCTAGTGAAATGGCCATCGGGACCATGGCATCCTGCCGAAAGGTGGAGGCCTCCCAGGCCGTCCACTGCCTACGATCGCCTAAGCATTCAACAGGGGGCAAACGAGGGATCGCTGCCCAAAACGTACATGCAACAGCAAGGTAAAAACTAGAGCAGGATACTCTGCCTCTTCAGTGCTGGGATACTTGGTCCTCCCCTCCCATTGATATGGGCGCCAATCGTCTTCGTTGTGCATGTGGGCACACACCAAATTGGGCAAGGACCTCAGCTCGGGGATGTTATGACGAATCTTCCTGGCAGCTAGAAAGCAACAATTGTCATAGTAAAAATCAGACCAACATCCATCCTGGTGCATATGAACTTCCACTGGGTCAACCCAGTGGAGACTCCTCCTGGGATTCTCCCGAAAAGCCCCCCGCTCATGCAGGTTGAGCACGTGTTGGATCGCCAACAGGTAATCACTGACACTATTGTCCTTCTCCACCCGGTCCCCTGCAGGGTGGGTAGCCCTCGCGGATACTTCTCAGTCCGTAGAGGCTTCGGTGCATTCGTTCCTGGCAGCTTGATTTCACGAATTCGACTCTTGGTGGAACAATCGATTGCAGCACTTACAAGGTGGCACTGAGGCAGCACTGCATTGATAGCTTTCTGTACAGAAGACTTGACAAGATCAAACTCACGATCAATAAGAACGTCGATGGGTTGAATAGTTTTCCAACCAGCCCATTCAAACGCCTGTGCTAACGGGAAATGCGGTCCGGACAGCAAATCCAAAAAGACAGGGACCTGAGGCTGATCATCATCCATTGTCTCAACCTGAGACCATCCATTCTGGATAGCGGCAACATGCTGATGGAATTCTTCCAAAGCGCTGGCAGGACCCAAATCCTCCGGTTGTGAAACAACACTGCCCTCCCCTCAGAGCTTGCCCTTGTTGTTGCATCTGCTCCCTGTGTGGTATGGATCACCACAGATGCGCCCGCTCTTCAGCTTGTGCGCACAACGGTGCTCACCATTCGGGCATCGGGCCTTGGCAATGAGGTCTCCCACCTCTTTTTGGGCCTCTTCAAGTGAACTGAAGAAAAAGGCAAAATCACCATCATCAGTGACTCCATTTATCTCACGCCAAACCTGCACCACCGAAAGGTCGTCCATGACCAAGATGACACACAAAAAGCTGAGCAGAGAGGTTCTCTCTTAGAGTTTCACTCTACAAAGCTATTTTGGCTAAAGCTAGCCTTGAGCCAAAATGTAACCATTTAACTTGTGCAAAGACCATGTGCTGAATGATTAGCCTACACCAAACCTGCCCTAAGCACTATAGGCACCAAATACAAACTAAGTTAAGTTATTGAGTTTTTGCAAGCAGTTAAAACAAGCAAAAATATGTATATCTTTACTTATTTAATTGGATGTCCTTTTGTTTTCCAATTAAGTAATTAGATAATTAGATGATTAATTATTTGACTTTTTAGTTAGTTAATTGGACTTCCGTGCGTTTTCCAAATAGAATAGTTGATTGGATTTGCATTTCTTTAATGGTTGTCTTACATATGGACTAACGAAATAATACCTAAAGGACCCTCTATCATATATATATATATATATGACATATGTGTATGATTATATGATACATTTACATATGTGTAAGTGTGTGTATATCTGTATGTATGTGTACACATCAAATAAGTTCAAGAAACTGGCGTAAAAAGCAAGACCAGTTGCTGAGGATTTTGTCAGACGAAACCTATCCCACGAGAATTTGGTCCCCTCTGTGCTACGTCCAGGATCTTCTGCAAGCGTTGCTGCACTGCTCATCCACACTCTGCTGCCAGCGCTCGCAACGGCGGTTGAAGGCTAAGGTGCTGTCCTAGTGGGACTGGCATGTAGGGAATACGTGCATACGGATTTTTTGTGAGGAGGTTGGGGTGGGGTTGGGTGCAGAAGCATCACTTCTAGTGGCAGGCGGGGACAAAAGGAGGCCGTGTTGCTTCGAAGTGCAAACTAGGGATGGGACTACACCGCGGTTAGTAAGCTTGTCAACAGGCCTCCTGTCACCACTGGCTAAGAATCTGAAACCCCACAAAACACAATGCACAATGGCACACCCTCCACCGTCCTGCGGCGCTCCAAGCTCCTGCCAGATCTTGAGCAGCTCTGCCTCCGCTCCCGCAGCTCCTCCCACGCGCAGGATCAACCCCGAGCCTAACGAGGCCAGGGTCTTGGAGAAGACTCGCAGGGACTCGTGCTTCCAGAAGCGTGCGGCACCGCGCAGGCTCCTTAGCCCGTGGGCTTCGACCACTGGCTCCTTAGCCCGTGGGCTTCGATCCGTGTGGAGGGTCAACGAACACATCTACTTGCCAATGAAAGGAGACCTGAACACACCTAAGAAAGCTCAATAAGTGATAATTTTTGTGGATTGGACAACCTCATTGGCACAACATGGCACGACTGATCGTTTATTCACCACCGTCATCTAGAAAGTCACTATCTGAGGAGGGGAAGGAGGGGAAGGGCTTGGGGTCTTAGGATCCTTAGAGCTAGGGGGTGTTGGGGCAGGGCTCCCTCCCGTTCCTCCCTCCCGTGGCCTCCAAAATGAAGACTGGCACCACTGCAGAGAAGCTCATGGAGCGCAGCAACGCCTCGTTGTCCTGGCTCGGTGGGGCAAACATTTGGGCCCAGCCATCAAACAGTGGAATGCCACTTGAGTAAGGTCACCTTGTAGGGACTATTGTAGGTTATGGTCTATGTGACGCTGGCCATGTGGTGAGCAACAGGCGGTCACTCAGAGTTCCATCCATCCACTCCGTGGATGGTCTGGACACCCCCAGATCCTCCATGGAGAAGACCGCCGAGTGAGCAGCTCGTTGCTCCCGGGAATTTCAGAAAGGTTGGGGTTCTGGAACGACCAATCAGAACCCAAGGAGCAGATACTCAAGAATGGTGGTCTTGTTTTTTTCCCCAACAGTGTGGTCACTTTCTGCTGCTACACCTCTAGACCTCACACAGACTGTTTGGGGTCTGGGACCATTTTTCTGAGATGCTAGGCTATGAGACGTCTTGAAGTTGGGAGTCCCCCCCTGAGCCAGCATGGAACCTCTGGAACCACATGTTAAGGGCAGCGCATTCGGAACTGACATGGAGCCTCAAAAACCACCAGTTCGTCTCTCTTCTCCCCATTCGAAGCGCTGTGAACAAGCCAAGTCCTCCCGTTCTCCCCTTCGTTTCGGTCACCGTCCAACTGTCCAACGCCGGTGGTCCTGCAGCCGTAGGTCGTCCCGCAGCCACACGATGCACAGCGATCCCGTCACCTGACCGAGTTCGACCATGCCTCCCTGCGAAGTGACGAAAAATCGGGAAATCATGAAGATCTAGAGTCAGGTCGTTTCTGAATGCTTTCAATGGGAGGGATGCTTCCCCGACACAAGGGCTCGTCTTCAGCCGGAAAACCATGGTCGCACCAACTGCGAAGTGGACTCGACGGATCACGCGCGCACCTTCGAAAGGATTGGACTCGACAGATCGGCGCACCTTCGAAAGGGTGCCAAGAGTCATCGGTGCCTCATCCACCTGACATGTGGAATCACACATTGAAACCCTGACCAAGCCACGAGAGGCGCGGCGTGGCTAAGCCAAGAGAAAATCCTGGTTGCAAATGGTCAGAGAAGGAACGTTAAGGCATGATTAGCATATAGAAATGCACATCCTATGTACCACCCACATGCATTGCATCTCTTGCAGGATACAGTTGTGCAAACACCACTTTGGAGCAGCGCACCTCTTGCATTGGCATGGAAACTGGTAGCGGCAGTCTGGCATCAGGAGTCTCCTGTATGCGCTGCTCAACGGACATCACGAGTACGCAGCAAGCCTCCTTCGACTTGGCCTGGCTGGGTCATACCTGTCTCAAAACCATTCCGAATCCCTACCTGATTCTGTGCAGAATCCGATTCTGTCAGAGAAAATCACTCTCAAGACTCGTCCAAAAAGGAAATTTCGTGGCAATTGGGTCCTCAAAATGAATTGGGTCCTCA